ACATCAAAAACTGGTTTAATGTCTGGATCTGGGGGATCTTCACCAAGTCTGGGAAAGTGACCTTGATGTCATCAGGTCATCAGCTTGGGTTTGGAAAATAAAAAATGCATTGGAAGGGATGCTTTTGAAACTGGAATTGTAAACCTGGTTATCTTGGCCTCTGATGCTTCTACTTTCACAATTATATTATTATGCTGTCTCTTAGCACGCTTGTTAACTTTCCGATTCATCTTGCCAGAACATGTGTAGTCAAATCTTGAATGACAGCCTTCTGCACGATGCGTTTTGGGTATTTCTCACGCAAGTGGAGCAGATTAGTTCCTCAAACCCTAAACGTCTTTCGCCTATATTCAGAATCTCTTTCATTGGACACTGAATCTCTTCCCCATGTAATCTTGTCCTGCCTTTCCTGAACATTTATTCTGATGGGTCATTGAGTACTTCTTCACCAAACATCAGTGAGGCATTCACTGTAGTTCCCAGGATGCACTGCTGTCCTATATCTGGGTCAGATGTTGTACAGCTCCACGCCATATGGCTGTACTGTAGTGAGGCCACAGGGATGTGTGTGTGTGTGTGTGTGTGTGTGTGTGTGTGTGTGTGTGTGTGTGTGTGTGTGTGTGGTGTGTGTGTGTGTGTGTGTGTGGTGTGTGTGTGTGGTGTGTGTGTGTGTGTGTGTGTGTGTGTGTGTGTGTGTGTGTGTGTGTGTGTGTGTGTGTGTGTGTGTGTGTGGTGTGTGTGTGTGTGTGTGTGTGTGTGTGTGTGTGTGTGTGTGTGTGTGTGGTGTGGTGTGTGTGTGTGTTGTGTGTGTGTGTGTGTGTGTGTGTGTGTGTGTGTGTGTGATTATACTCCTTAAACATGAGAAATGTTTCATAATTTGCACGTCTTTTACGGCTTTAAAAGATTAGTAAAATACAAATAAAAGTAGTTTTAATGTTTTCATTGAGGGACCCTCAATAAAATACAAATAATATTTTAGCAACAAAACAGCACACATTGTTGTTCCTTTGTTCAACCAATAGAAAGCTTGTACAATATGTCCACATTTGCTAAATTACTGAGAAAATACTGTTTAAAATAATGCGGAAATGTGAATTTTAGTTAGTTGTATGTAACCAGATTTTTATTTTTTATTTTGAATATATTAACTAATATTGACTAATCAGTGTTTAACCTTTTCTGCTTATCCACTGGCCCTCCGTGGGATCTTGACCTGAATGTTATGAAACTCATCACAATAATGTTACCACACATAAGGTCGCACATATTAGAACACACACATTTCATCAGTGTATCCCTGTCCTGACTCACGGGGTGAAAATAATAACATTAAAAATCATCAGCGCAAAGCTAATCCCCGGTCTGTAAATATTTTAATACCGTGGTGATTAGCAGGGATCTCAAACCCCCAGTCTACCCTACCCCAGCTTCCTCTCCTAACCCAGCATTGGATCACCATTCCTGGGGGAGGCGACCAGGCGAGACCCTGGAAGAGGGCCACTCAACGCTTTGGACCCTCAAACCCCGAAAGTTAAACCCCTGGACTCTCGCCACTTCATTTCTCTAAGTGGCATCCGCCAACGTCATAACGTTAATTAAAATTGTATTTAATCAATTGGCTTTTAAGCTCAAATATATAATAATCATATGAAATATTCATTTTCTGTTATTGTTTCTGGTTTTTGTAGTCTTTGAGTTGACTCGAATTATTCCTTTTGCTGGAGTCTGTTTATATATTTATCTGCGCTTTTAATTTCTGTGAGGAAGTGGGATGTTGTGTGTTCGGGGGGGGGAGGGTGGGGATTTTTCAGATGAGCGAGCAGATGTTGCACTTCCTCAAGAGGGATTTATGTCAGGATAGGGACACACATACACACACACACATACACACACACTGGGCTTCATGTCATTATGTATGCATTTCAACAGTCAACAACATCCACAGACTGTAAAGACAGGCGACAGAGACGGAGAGAAAACACATTATTAACATGCTGCCTTCATTTAAAGTTCAAATCCAAGTGATGGAGTGATGTGTTTCAATTTAATTGCTTGTTGGAGATTTACTTAGTGTTTGTGTATACTAACTGCTTCTTATGTTTAAAAAAAAGACTAAGAAAGAGGAACTAACCCAATTTGTTTTGCCTTTACTTCTTGTATTGCAGAAGCAAATAGTAGCTAATGTTAGCGTTATGTTATTTAGACAGATATGGCCAAGTTGTTGACATTACGGAGTCAGTTTTTTGACTGGTGACTAGTGTCCTAAACGGTTGTTCAAACAGTAAACACAATGTACCTCAACCCATAAGGGTCCCATTATAATCGGTCTCAATTAAGACACCTTAAAGAATACTAGATTTAGCATTGCACCTGATAACGATATTGCAGTCACAATGGAATAGAGAATTAGCAGAAAAACATAAATACTTATCCAGCACAACCAAAGATTACTTCTCTTTTTTTCAATGCATTTTTCTTCTTCCTCGTAAAAATCTGGCCCTGCAAGTAGTTAAGTCGGAGAATCTGGTTTGTTACGCTAGTAGCAGCTAATTTAGCCTCCAGCAGCTAGCCTCCAGCAGAGATAAGGAGAGGGCTACTGAGGGCTAGTACTGTAAGTTCTTAACTACTCCAATCCAGGTTTATTTCATTATTAACCATGTGGTCTTCAGCACCAACGGATACTGACTCAAGTGACAAGGTATCACATGTTGCGCAGCCCCCTGTAAAGCCACAAAAGCTTAAAACAAACGTATTCCACATTTGCAGCGGTTTAACTGAGGCCTGTAAGGAGACTTTGATGTATTTCCATTTAAATCAACTAGATATGGGAATCTTGGCAAATCACAGGAAGTTCAATCTGATGTACCTGCATTGCCACTTGGGTCTGTTGCTGTTTTGAGTACACCTGTCTTGAGTTTCTGTATATCTTTTGTGCTAGCGTCTATCATCTGGTAAAGAAGCAAGCATGTGGTATCGAGATATATATATATATTGCGAGTCATACTAAGATCAATATTTGCCATAAAGTAACCCTGCTTTTAATTTACAACATTTCCCCACAATGATCTTATGCACCTTTGAATGCTTAATACATAGCTACCATGTTCTATACTGAATGGTAAATGTGTATTCTGATACATCACTCAGTGTTGGGTGATGTACCAGACCTGCTGCATGAGGTTCAGACTCTTGGCTAACAGTGTTTCGGGGGTCTGTTATTGTGTTCACCTCTTTCAGCATGCACCTTCCTCCCAATCACCAACTAGTCCTCACCAGACCACCAATGAACAAGCGGCAGAACAGGCCTGGAGACACAATCATAAGAAACCCGCTGCAGGCCTGTCCCGTGGTTCGAACCTGAGCCGATCCGGCAGCGTCAAAAACCTGATCAGTATATTCTCCAGTCCTTCTTCTGGGACCCAACAGAGCTTTTCATCTAGAACACTCCCAAGAGCTACTTCTACAGAGGCTCTCTACCTTTCCAGGTCAAAGTCAAGCCCTTCAACACTGAGCAAAGTCGAAAAAGACGACGCTTCTGTTCCCAGCATCACCGTGACCCCTCCGTTCAGGGAAACCAGTCAGAAAGTGGCAATGAAAGGAAGCTTTAACAGTCAGATCGCTGCCAGGATCGATTGTCCAGTCGATGTCAGGGCTGAGAAGACTGCTTCGGTTCCACTGAACAAAACACAAACCAAAGACTCTGGTAGAGACTCGGTAGCTGACTCCGGCATGGGATCGGTAAGCAAAACACTAAATGTCCTGGCCGACCGACCGTTTCCATGTCTTTGCATGAAGCGAAAATCACTGGATCTTCCCTGTATGGAGACAGAATCAAAGCATGACATTGCAGTTTTTCAAAAATGCATGTCCTTGCATGATTAAGGCGTCGTTCACAATCTGATGCAGATCAAAAGCATGAAACTACGGCAAGACTCATTCTTCAATCGTACTAATCAAAATGGCCTCACATCCAATATTTAACTCTTGCTTTTCTTTAATTATTTACCTGTAAATGATCTTTACATGTTGCCAGGTTTGTTTTTTATCTAAAGAAAATAACAACAATTTAACGCTGTTGATTTTAACTGCCTGTGTTGATTTTTTCCCTGCATGATTGCATTAATTTGGACGAATGAATTTGATTGGGACTAATGACACTTGTGTGCATTTCGGAATTTCTATCTGGTAATTTGCTTGGTGTGAAACATAAGGGGCCTACTGTATAGTGGCATGCCTATGGTGGGTTAAGGTCGATGTTTTGCAATAAAGACATAGCCAAATCTTGGTTATGAAGTCCCATGTCAATGAGTTACCAGTTTCAAGCAAAGCCCAAGTCCTCAGCCCAAGACCTTTAATCAGTGTATTATCCTGTCTGTATGCACTGCCAAACACAACTTTCCTTATTTTTCACACATTGTGATTGGCTGCTTGCAAATTAAACACAATTCTTCCAACATCGTCCAACACCAGTGGGATGACCATGTGTCTGGATGTTGGAGTAGGTAGCTGTTTGCTAACATATTAACCAGAACGACTGTTTACTGTTCACCAGTATGTTATAGAGTTCTTCTGCCCCCTAGTGGTCAGAAAACTTGAAGTCTGCTTTAAAGAAACCCCAGTTGGCGACTTAAAAAAGGCACTATAGCTGAAAATGTTTGGGAAGAAATTGCAGAAAGATATCAAAGTCTGGCAAGTTGATTTTTATTGCTTCCAGAAAATATAGTTTCAAGTGTGATTTCTTACCCTGGAACTTTTCAGTATTTTGCCTCCGCCTTCATTTTGTGTTATATGTTGTTGTTTTGCAAATCATATATACATCTTCTCCCTACTGACAACACCAGCATATCCTCAGTGAATTCACCCTCATTATTCCTTTTTGATTCTTTTTGTATTTGTAGACTTCCTTCGACCCTCCAACAATTCTATTTTCATATATCCTTCAGGTTTATCTCATTGCTCCCTCCTTACATTTTGCCCTCTTCCTCCAGGAGTCAGAATTGGATTTGAACAAGCAGCCGGACAGCCTGTTGTCAGAGGATGAGCCCCACCACACCCCAAAGCGGTGCCGCCACTCAGAACCCCAAATATCAGCTGTTCCTCAACAAACGACTACAAGGTCAACGGGTTGAGTGGCAGGGATGCAGATGGGCCAGTTGGAGGCGGCGGGACGGGGGGGGAGAACGGCCCTCGGTCCCGATTCGAGAGCGACCGGCTGGGGCAGAACCAATACCAAGGGTCCCTGGAGTCCCTGGCCTCGCGGGACTGGGACAACACGTCTGACAGGGTGGGTGAGGCGGACCGAGGTGTGGTGTGTGTTGTGGTGTGTGTGTGTGTTGTGTGTGTGTGTGTGTGTGTTGTGTGTGTGTGTGTGTGGTGGTGTGTGTGTGTGTGTGTGTGTGTGTGTGTGTGTGTGTGTGTGTGTGTGTGTGTGTGTGTGTGTGTGTGTGTGTGGTGTGTGTGTGGTGTGTGTGTGTGTGGTGTGTTGTGTGTGAGTGTGTGTGTGTGTGTGTGTGTGTGTGTGTGTGTGTGTGTGTGGTTTGTGTGTGTGGTGTGTGTGTGTGTGTGTGTGTGTGGTGTGTGTGTGTGTGTGTGTGTGTGTGTGTGTGTGTGTGTGGGTGTGTGTGTGTGTGTGTGTGTGTGTGTTGTGTGTGTCATATTTGAACCAGTTATTAAACAGTGCCATCTCCTGGACTAAACACAGCTTTAAGATATTGTATGTCCCATGCACTGCAAAACATCTCAATCAATCTATAATATTTTAAAATTCCAAAAAGTTTTTGATCCTGAATCTAATTAAATATTATAAATCCATCTTTTTAAATGTTCACAAAGTATTGCACAATGGCATGATTCAAAAGTGTCAAATTATGATAGAAATACAAGTATTTGCTTGAAGGTATATTAAAAATTCCTATTTGAATATCAGTAAGGAATATTAATCATCAGTGTTTAATGTACAACAATAACAGGATTGCTGCCCAATGAATATATCTGTTTACCACATTGTATTTGCTTTTATTTATTTAATATTTAATCAACAGCAAAACACGCAAACCAACGATAAAATCAGCCCTTCTGAGTCTGCCTTCAGTCCGTACTGTGATTGTTTGCTTTTGTAATTTCTATCTATTTTTATTTTGTTGCTCTCTCCTTTGATCGTGCTGTCTCTCATCACCGTTGTGTTTTTTTTTGTTTACAGTATGGAGTTGTTGACAGCCCTCCCAGGGTGTTCAACAGTCCGTACTCCACGACCGCCTCCATGGATTACAACCCCATGCACCGGATGTCTGAGTTCAAGGTTAGTAGTGAGAAGCTATTTTCCTATTTATATCTTTAATAGATAAGGTAGGTTTAGAATTATATCTTTGAAAGTTACTTAATTAAGTTGTATCATCTATATTAAAGGTGTTATAAAAAGGTTTTTAATTAGTATAAATAATATTTTTGTCATGTTTGTTGTCATATTCATTTTGGCCACAAGAGGCTGCTGTGCACCATTACCCCTTGTTCTTTTTACAGCTAGAAGCAATTATGTTTTCTTGCTACAACACAATTAGTTTGCCTTGTGTTGAGAGTGAGTTCAGAATATAATACTCAGAAACTTGGAGGACTACTTTAGTCCTATTTTAAAGATTGGGGCATTGGTGTACTTCTGCCTCTTGTGGCCTAAATGTGCACTACAACTAACACTCTTCTCACAGATAAAACGGATTATAAACTTGTTGTCACAAACGTTTAAAGCCAGAGACACTTGAGAGAGAACATTTTGAATGAAATGTTTTGTCTCTCTTCTTTGCCTTTCAGGGCTTCCGTAATGTCAAGTTGTGTAATATTTAAAAAGTAGTTACATAAACAAAAAATAGTATGCTTTTGCAACTGTCAGACCCTTGTTTTAGATGTAGTTTCAGCCCTAGCAAGTGTTTCAAAATAGTCAAACATCTAGGAGGAAATTGCATCACATTTTCATGCATCGTGATGTAAAAGGTGTTCTGAGGCTGACCATCACTCTGTACTGACCCTCCTCTGTGCCCACCTCCTCCGCTCCAGGTTCCAGGGGGGATTTCTCCTGCCACCTCAGAGATGAACCTGTACGGTTTCAACAGTCGCAGCACCAGTCCTGTTGGCACGCCCACCCTCACCCGCCCCCGATTCTCTGCTTACGAAACCCTGGCGAAGAGAAGAGCCGAGGTCAACAACCATGTGGTACGATTTCTCTCACACACACAGAAACACACTCTATCAAAACTCACGTCCATACTATTTAATGGTTGACTGTGTTTAAAGGTCACCTATTATGCAAAATCCACTTTCATGTCTTTTATACATAACCATGTGTCCCCTCTGTGTAAAGAGACTCTGAAAGTTTCAGGAACAAAGATTCTCTCTCTTTTTGTCCTGATCCATTTATATAAAAACCTGTCTGAAAATGAGCTGATCAGATTTTGGCCACTTTATGATGTCATAACGATTTTTTGGCTTGTGTCACCATTAGCCAATAACCAGCCAAGGTAACCCCCCCCACCTTATCACCTGAATCTCCTCCGAGAGCACCATTGAGTTCTTTTTAACCAAATCTCTCTCAGAGGGGCGTGGGGAGGGGCTCCTTATTTTCATCTAAAGTAACAGACAGAGAATCAGCACCTTTGAAACAGGGCTGAAACAGAGGGGATTATGGGATGCTGCAATGATCTGTTTGGTGTTTGGAGCCAAACACTTCAGAGACATGTTTGTATATATCTGAGACCTGTAATATATTGATGAAAAACAGTATAATAGGGGACCTTTAAATGTCGGTCTTTGTTGCAGATGCCACAGATGAATCAGATGAACCAGATGCCACAGATGAATCAGATGAATCACATGAATCACATGAATCACATGAATCAGATGGCTCCCGTCCACTACAGCATGCGCTCTAACACTTTAGGAGGGCCCAATAAAAAGGACTACATTGAGGAGTTGACCAAACAGATGGACGTCTGCCAGAAGGTAGAACTTATACTAGTTATTATGGGTTACAATCACACTAATAATGAGGTTTGTTACAGCAAGTATAAGAACACTTCTTTTTGTCCTCTCCAGCGTAACCAGTTCCTGGAGGCAGAGAGCGTGGCGATGGAGAAGGAAAGGAACCAGATAAGGTCAGACATGATGTTTTTTTCTTGTCACGTCAATACCAAATAATATCACCAAAAGAGAATATTTTTAATAGTCAGCTTGAAAGTGCATATTAAAATACTTTTAAAATACAACTAAAATATACATATGACAGGTAGAGCCTATTTTACTTTTTTTAATTGTCGCACTCTTCACTAGAGTAGATTTTCCTATGCTTCCTTTCCTAATTTTGCTCTATTTTGGTCTGATTCTCATTCTGATTAAACTCTTTAAAGAGTAACTTAAAGGGGACCTATCATGCAAAATGCACTTTTGTACGTCTTTTATACATGAATATGTGTCCCCGGTGTCCAGGGAACTCACCAAGTGTCAGAAAACACAACCCTCTCTATTTTCCTCCATACCCAAATCTCTAAAAAAGGGGCTGCAACGGATCTGATAAAAACTGATCCAGATTTGAACACTGTCCTGACGTCAGGACAGTGGCGCTACGGCTATTGGGCCAACTCCACCAATCAGGAGGTGACAGCCACGGCCATTGCCGTTCGAAAGCGCTGGAGACGCTGTAGTACATATGCCAGGCCTCTAGATGGTGCTGTTCTCACAGAATCAGCCCTTGCAAAAACAGAGCTAAAAAACTTCAAATTGAGCGAAATGAGGCATGGCTAAAATGCATGATCTGTTTGGTATTTTGAAAAAAAAAAAGTATAAATATGCCTTATATAGGTATGGTCCTACACTATATTATTCAAATATAGCATGATAGGTCCACTTTAACTCTAAGGTTATCTTTGCTGAAATGATGTAAAGTGGGTATGATGATGAGTACAATATAACATTTTATGGTGGGTGTGAGATTAGGCTAAATTTAAGCTAGAACTATTTATTGACTTTCTCTTATTTGGATGTGTAACAACAACACATAATGTCACAGGGTACCGAACACACTTCTTCTTACAAATTATGGACCGATCTTCATTCTCAATTTTTTCATAGACGCTCTTGTAACCTCAAAGCGATTTTCTGTTACTACTCTTGTCGTTCTTTGGCTTCCTTCCTCTGTGATATTGAGTGTTAACCTAAAGTTTGACACATTTCAAACCCCTGTGAAGGTATGAGATGCGCGGCCTGCTGGTGAACAACGAGGACCTGCTGAGGACCAACACCCAGCTGACCAATGAGATGAAGAGGATGAGAGAGCAGATGATAGAGATGGATAGAGAGCACCAATCCCTGGGCGAGAGATTCAGGGAGATGGAGGTGTGAGGATAAAGAAAAGCAAGGGAATGGTACTGTATTATCCAAAGGTTTGCATGTCTGACTGTTTTTTCCTCGCCCTGTGCAGATTGAGGTGAAGCAGGCCCGGGACGTGATGGTGGAGGCCAACACTCAGGAGTATGCCTTCAATTTCCTCCAGCAGACCCTCAAAAACAAGATCCAGGACGCTGAGGTACACAGCAGCAACTAACATTAAAAAAATGTCCCTCTTCTTCCACATTTCTACAGCAACTGCAGTGTGTGGCACTTGTCATCAGGACAGATAATTCACATTTAGTGCCATTTGGAAGACAACGTACTGTACAGTAGTGAATATCGGGAGACAAATACTTCTTTGACACCTTTTTAAATTAGCTTTAAATTACACATGTTTTCACTTTAATAGATTACTTTCAATGTAGCTAACTACTGTAGGTAGCTAGCTAGCTATGTAGCGGTAAAAAAGTGTTTGGCTTTTTTGACGCCAGTAGTAATGGCGTGCCACAAGTCGCTTGAGATAAAAGTATCAGCTAAATGAATTGTATTGTAATGTAATTTATTTTGAAAGTCAAGAAAGTCACAGTTTGGCTTAGTGTGAAAACGCTCAGTGAACTATATCTCTCGTCTAGCAGAATAAACATTACCCACAATAGCTAGCTAGCTAACTCATGCTAGCAATATTTCACAAACAAATGATCATCTAAGTACATTGTGAGAGTACCAAATGACAATGCTATGTGTGTTGTGTTCAGGAAAACCTGGAGAAGCAGACGCAGCACGCCCAGTCTCTGTCTGAGAAGTTGTGGGTGACAGAGAGACAGCTGGAGGAGCTGGAGGTGGACAAAGAGACCAGAGACAAGAGGACAACCGAACTCAACAGCAACCTCTTCAGGATGGAGACAGAGGTACAGAGATACTTTCCTCCCACCGTTACAAACTGAATATTTGTATAGAAGACTTGCTCTGCTCCGAATAAAAAATGTAGAGACATTTCAATTAATTTCAATGAACTAATAGGAGATGTTTAAAAGAGACTTGGTTAGGTGAATACTACCTCTGTTCACCAGAGAGAAAGACACAATATAAGTCCTAAATATCACATCACTCCTCTCCTATAGACGTGAATTTCCTTAAGTGTTTATTTAGAGTTGATCTGGTAAAGCCTAAGCACTGATGTGTGTATGTACCTTAACGTGTATGTGTGTGTGTGTGTGTGTGTTTCCAGCTGGCAGAGGCCCTGCTGGTGTCCACACAGGCTTCAGTCGAGCTGAGCCTCCATCAGAAGCTGCGTGTGGACGAGCAGCAGAGGGTGGAGGAGCTGGAGGAAGAGCTGCTGGAGAAGGAGCAGGAGCAGCAGAGACTGCAGAGCCTCGTGGGCCGCCTGCAGGGAGAGGTGAGCAAACACTGATCAATACAACCATTATGAGTCCTGTGTGTTATATAAATATCACTCGTCACCCGGCTTGAGCTTCAATCTCAGGATCCATGTATTTCTGATCCTCTCCAGAATGGAAGTAGTCATCACATTCAGAGCATCAACTAGTTCCTGAACAGTGTCCTTCACATGCTGATATCCAAGAGAGGGAGTTACAAGATGGAGGAATATAAAGCAGTATTCAATGTTTACTTCAGATTAGCTCCACGTCAGAAATGAGCATGCTTGTCATATGTCTATCTCCATAGAGGCTGAATCATCATGTTAATCACATAGCTATCATATGCCTAAAACAGTCCTGATGCTCTTCTAGGTAATCATACATCCTGTCATGAACACAGCTACAGTTGGGATACCTTTGTTATCATGTGGACTCTGATATTGGAAGAGGACATTCAGTATTTTCACAACAGAGAGTTACACAAAAAATATCCATATTTCCCTTTTTAACACCCGTTGAATCTAAATCATCAACAACACAACGTATGAAAATCAGCACATTTGATAAGATAATAATAAAAGGTAATACAAAAAATTGCCCCAATAGTTTCCTGGTTATATCTGTTTATTATAAATGTCCCCTGTTCACCTGCGTGTGTCTCTTTTAATAATAGCTGGGATGGAGCCTCAGGACCTGTTTGAGTTTTAACGTGTGTGTGTGTCTGTGTGTGTGTGCAGGTCTCTGGAAAGCTGATTGATAGGGAGCAGACTCTGGAGGAGGAGATCCAGCTGAGAGAGAAGATCCAGCTGCAGTGTAAGCAGGCAGAGAGGGCGGTGGAAGACCTGAAGATGGAGCTGCAGACCACCAACCAGGCCAAAGACGACCTGGCCAAACAAGTCAAACAGTCCCAGGTACGGCTCCACATCTTCAGATACACTCACTTTCAATGACCATACACAACTTAAGATTATGAAACAATTTCACCAGAAAAAGGAGGGTTTTATAAGGATCAAGTTTCAGGTATTTGGCCCTAGATTTCTGTAGGCAGTACATGTTTATATCAAATGAATGACTGATATAAAAGATAAGGCTGGTAACAATTAATTCAACATGTGTTGGTGGACCATTAATTTTAAAAAATCCTGCATTTTCTGTGATAAATACATAATATCATGCTAAGTGTAGTGCAGTATTTTCTAAGATGAATTGTGTCTCCGCCATCTTTCCCTCAGCACAATGCATGCTGGTATATATGTTTGGTTGGTGACCGTTGGCTGTATGGTCAATTTCTTTTCACAATGCATTGTGGGATACTTCAAGTTCACTATACAAATTCATAAGTAATATAATACAAACAACACTAAAAAAAATATTTCTGAGACAGCCCAAAACTAATGTGGTGTTCATCTGTTTGCTGCTCTCAGTCCATTGGTTCCTTCTAAAGACTGAATGTAGAATATAACAAGGTGTATCCGTTTAACATTATAATAAATCAATATGTGTGAAGCATCAACACAATAAAATATGAATATTATTTTAGACTCATAACAAGGGGAAAAAAAGTATTTATAGGAGAAAAACACTTTTTTTTGTGTGGGATGAATACAAAAAAGAAGCTCATATTTCCTGACCTCCTTGAAGTACACTCTGTTTCCAGCTATGGATCAGACAGTATCCATGTGTCTGCATTACGCGACCTAATGTCTCAAAGAGAGAGATGTCCACTTGAATTAATCAGTCATGCAAACCATCAGAGTTTTAGGGTTAATGAGGAATTATTCATGCAAATCCTGTTTAGCAATCAGCGTGCTAATGCCATAATCCTAAATATTCATAATGTGGCTATTTCTGAGGATACTTAATCCGTGCCACTTTCTAAATAACCTGCATGTTTTCTGCTGATGAGACGACAGATCAGAAGTTTAGTTTGGACCATGACTTTTTATTTATGATGATTCTGTTTACAGGAGAAGATGATCGACCTGGAGACCGATCTGGAGGAGCTGCACGACAGCGAGCAGAGGTGGGCGGCCAAACACAAGAGAGCCATCGAACAGGTAAACACACGCAAACAGGAAGTGAGCTAACTGAACATGTTCTGTCATTAACTAGACCTTGAAAACTCTTAAGGCTGGTTTTTAAGAAGTGTGTGTGTTTGCTGTCAGACTGAGCAGCTGCAGCTGAAGCTGATTCAGGAGAAAGACCTCAACGACCTGTTGGAGATGGAGAAGGGTTCCGCCGAGAGACAGGTAGAGTGTGTGTGTGTGTGTGTGTGTGTGTGTGTGTGTGTGTGTGTGTGTGTGTGTGTGTGTGTGTGTGTGTGTGTGTGTGTGTGTGTGTGTGTGTGTGTGTGTGTGTGTGTGTGTGTGTGTGTGTGTGTGTGTGTGTGTGTGTGTGTGTGTGTGTGTGTGTGTGTGTGTGTGTGTGTGTGTGTGTGTGTGTGTGTGTGTGTGTGTGTGTGTGTGTGTGTGTGTGTGTGTGTGTGTGTGTGTGTGTGTGTGTGTGTGTGTGTGTGTGTGTGTGTGTGTCCACTTGTTTTACGAGTGTATGTTTACCACAGTAGGGCTGTAACGAATAGATAAAGCACCACTTATACATTCAAATGCTCACAGGGTTTTTATTTGATATTTTTTTACAATTTCTTTGGTGTGTTGAAAATATATATCCGAAAGCCAAATATAAACTTAGAAATTACAAAGGTAATAGCATTCCTCACAGCTTTACAGCACAATTAAGTATGTATCTCTCTATCATATTTGGATATACTGATATTTAAAATTAGGAAAAAAAACAGTATCGATTTTTTAAGCTTTTTCGCCCTCTGGTGGAGAGACGGTGTAATGGCAAGACTGATTTGAAGGAATTCTTGGACATGTCTATACTGATACTTCTTGTTATTGGTTGATATACAGTGAACTCAGGTATTTCTGTGCTAAGCTGCTAATGGACTGACAAGAACATGGTTTGAAAAAGCCTGTTCATTTAAGTAGGCTACGTAAATAATGTAAATGAAGAGTAATGAAAGTAAGTGAAGCAGAAAGGTTGTATCATATCTAATGGACGCTTCTCTCTGTGTGGGTGTAGCTGCGGGAGCTGCGTCTGGAGGTGGAGGAGCTCCAGAGCTCCAGGGTTCAGGAGGATGTGGTCTCCAGAGCGGAGAGCCGAGTCAAGGAGATGGAGAACACGCTGAGGAACGAGGAGAGGTCCGTCACAACGCTTTATCTTACTCCATCAGCACTTTATTCTGTATCAATGTTTGAACAGGCGTTGATTAAAAAGCTGTTCCTTAGGCATCCTATTTATTATAAGGTCACTTTCACACCTGTGGTTTGGAGCTTCGGAAATCATTTGGAAATCACCTTTACAATAATTCTACATTATGATAGCACAGAGCAGATATAAGGCGAAATAACAAAATAAGTGGACAAGCATATGAAAGAAGGCAAGCACAAGTTCACCCATTTTTTGACAAAGATTTTGTAAAAACAACAGATAATTAAAAAGACGTTTAAAGGTGGGGTAGGTCATTTTGGAGAAACCAGCTCGAGTGCGCTAGAATTTGAAAATACACAACCGGAAGAAATCTGCCACTTCCTTACAGAGCCCCTCCTCCAACACACACGAACGCGCACATGACCAATGAGGGCACGAGATAAGTTTGTGCACAGATGGAAGGCTGACAGGCAGGTAGGCCATCCAGTTATTTTAGCCGGGCCGGCTAAGATGATTGGTCGTGCTTTTTACAGTACTACGGCTTCCACAGATTACATTTTTTTATGGATTTTTTGTCAAAGCACTTAAGATATTCATTGCTATCGGGATGTTAAGAGCATTCCATGGAATATAACAACAAGTGTATCTCGAGCCGGTTTCTCAAACTTACCTACCCCACCTTTAAGCAGGGTCATTTTATTCATAAAGCATCAGGCAAGTAAAAGTGCTTTACCTGAAACCTGCAGCTTCTTGCAGCTTTAGCTTCCCTATTGTATGTTACCTGTACAAATGGTGTAACAAAATAAATCAATACATTGTGTTCATGTGCGTGCAGGAACAAGTCTGTTCTGACCAACACCATCAGCAAACTGGAGAGGAGGATCAACGAGCTCAGCGACCAGATGGAGGAGGAGCACAGGATAGCTAATGAGCAGAAAGACCTGGTAACAAACACACACACACACACACACACACACACACACACACACACACACACACACACACACACACACACACACACACACACACACACATACTGGTACGGGTGGTTTGTCAGGACTTTTTCTTCGTACCAGTTCAAACACTGATTTGTGGGGACCCACCTTTCCCTTTGCCGTAGAGAGACCGCAGAGTGCTTGAACTGATCATAAAAAATTCAGCTACATTTCTGGCTATTTAGAATTCAGTTTTGGTAAAAGACTCTAGAGATCTGTAGACCTGAAATTCTACAGGACTGTGGGGACGGGGGCGGGACTGGGCGGGAGTGGGCGTTTCCTGACAAGATTATGACTTATGAGAACCCATGTGGATTAGCTGGACATTACCCATACACACCCATACACAAAGCAAGTCCCTACGTTATGAGGACCACAATGGTATATCTGGACAATATACACACACACACAGATTTGTAGAAAACCTGTACTCATGAGGACAATAATGGTTTCACTGGACATTATCCTCAAACATGTGTTGCGCAATATTTTGTTACTGAAAAAGTAGCCCAATACTTCCGTTTATTTTAAATGTTGAAGAGAAAAAGGTATTTAACTTAGGAGAGCAATGGTACAAAGAGCAGACCACTTTCTCATTTTCACAGACCTCAGTGTTCAGAGACCTGAACATCAACATATGCAGCTTTTTTCTTGTTGCTTTGATGACAAACACCTGTTTTTAATAACCATATGCAGGGATTTTGCGATGGACAATACAAGTATTTCTGACAACCTCTTTACCAGTCGGCTGTCATTGAAAAGTGACAGAGGATTTAATTCTGACAGAGACCTTGACATATGATAGAACCTGCGCAGCCTAAAATTATCACGGAAGGAAGTGAAATATTGAGAAATGTTGTCTTTTTAGTGGACAAGTGAATATTAAGTTGATTGAGTTGCTCAGAAATAAGGTCAAGATCAAAAGCTAAGTTGAAATGTAGTCATGTATTGATAACTGGCATTTCTGGTATTGTGACAATACAAACATTGCAAACACTTAAACAGTGAAATAAAAAAATTACAAAAAAGTTATAGTTAAGTTAATTTGTATAAAATGTACATATCTCTATCGTTACTTAATCATTTTACCGTCCGTACATGTCTGAACCTAATTCACTAGGAACACTTGACTTGAACTTGTGAACTGGCTCTTGAGGCTGTGCTTTGTGATATTAAAAGATACTAAATTATATCATTTTATACTCTTTTAGACAGTTCTGTTGAATTTGTTCAGCCTTGTCTGTTGAAAAATGTTCAAATGTATTATTATCCCTGGAGAAATGTGTCTTACAGTCATTTACTCACAGGTCCCGTTGAATACATACAGTATATGACAATGAACAGCAGCAATCAATAGTGTTTGAAATATTCTTTAAACACATTGAAACAACCTGGAGCTGTCTTCATGTCCCAGTTGTTAACATGTTGGTCCCGCCCCATGTGCCCAAACTGAGCGAGCTCTGTGATTGGTCCCCAGATGACCCAGAGGATGCGCTCTCTGAAGCGGCAGCTGAACGAGGCGGAGGAGGAGGCGAGCCGGAGGGAGGGGCAGTACCGCCACACCCAGAGAGAGCTGCTGGAGGAGAGGGAGACAAGCAGCCGGCTGCAGAGGCAGGCGCTGGACCAAAGCCTGCAGAACAAGTACGCACACACACACAGAAACACACACACGGAAACACACACACAAACAGACGTGAATGTTATCCTTTGTTAACATGAAGCATCCCACATTTTCAATATAAAAACCTGTTATCTTCTAGAAGAGTTTAATTTTCACTGCACTCCAAACACAAGGTATAAATATTGTGTGTCAGCAAGTTATGTAACATTACTGTCAATTGCTGATGACTAAAATGGATTTAAATCTGTGCTATTCTGCCACTTTTAGTCTTATTTCGAATACGGGTTTGAAGTACATTTGGTTTTTTTTGGACACATGAGTACAACATCACCAACTTAGAAATCACACTTGTTCTATGGTCATAAACACAGAAGAGAAGACCATTTTGATTAAAAAGTCAAATGTTCCTTTCTGACTTGCCTCTCAGGTCTTCCGTAGCCATCTTCCTCTGTATCAAAAGCACACATCATTTACAGTCCGTCACAAAGTCAGTACATTAAAGCACAAATTAAAACGTGTCTCTCTTCCAGACGTAAGGACACTCTGACCATCCGTCAGACTCTGGATAACCTGAGGCTGGACCTGAGCGTGGACGATGAAGAGGAGAATCAGCCACCGGAGGAACAAACAACAAACACTGTCACCAAAGTTTGAACCCTCCCACTTCACACATTAACCAATAACAGCACATCTCTACACTGGCACTCAGGGTGCGGTGACATTTTCTAAAGCTGCCGACACCACTTTCTCATGAAAATAGGATGTGATCAAACCCAAAAGTCCACCACGCTCTTTGCCTCTGACACTTTGAAATAATCACTGATGTATATTCTAGAAAGTGAAAATATAAAATGATCTAATATGGTAACAAATTATAGAAAATAATAAGAGACAAAGTTAAACAGTGAGCCTGTTAAATTGAAACATTGCATGCACTTTATTAAGTGCAATTGTACCAAATTAACTGAATGAAATGTGAACAGTATTCTCTCTAGAATTAGTTACAAATTAATGTCTTTGGTCGCCCTCTTGTGGTTACTATTAGGAATTACAGCTATCAATTAAAAACCCTAAAAACAAATGTCAGTCAATACAGCTGTCAACATTGAAGTCAAATGTTTCGACATGTTGAACCTAACATTTCTATTACATAGAATATTAAATAAATTCATGATCTGCTTGTTTGCATACGTGTACAGATGCTTGGTGCGAAGAGATGCTGACATGCATTAGGGAAATATTACTAGTGGCGTGATGAGGATTTGATAAATGTGCCTTTTTTTTAAATTGTGTTCTTGTAGTTGCTGTTTAATTGAGCTTCAAACAGCATGAAGTACATTGAAGTGTGAATTTCTCGATATCATCCAATAGGCGTTTTGGCCTGAACGGACACTTTGGAAGGGGACTCCTTTAAAAACCTCTTTTTAATTTCATTCTGTATAGAAAAAGCGAGTTTCAATTGGAAAAGAATCACTGGTTACCACGTAAATTTGACAATTTAGAGCTAAGCTAACGGTTCTTTCATACGGAGGGATGTTCTATCATTTAGTTTGACATGTGTTTATCTGCACAATTAGAAAATATTCCAAACAAGTTGAAATGCAGGAGAGGGATCTTTGCATGTGATTATAGCTGTTTGATTCACCAACAATTATTTATATTGACCGTATTTTTGTATGTTTATAATGTTTTTATGATACCAAGATTATTGAATATTCTGTATTTGCAATTGCTTCTGGGGCAAACTTAATTTTTAGTGAATTTAATGTATGATTTTAGTGCAGTTTAAGGTATTTTAGGGGGGTTTGCTGCTGTATTGATGTATCTTAATGTGCCTCCTACATACGCTTCTGTCCAGGTGATAAGATTAAGGGATAAGATATTTTCTATCAGCAAAGAAGATGATACAAAAAGGGGTTTTGTTTCACACTTGGCGTCTTTGTTAAATGTGTTTTATTCAAGTCACTCAGAGCAGACTCAAATAAAAAAGGAAAGGAACTGAGACGTTTTAGCTCTCAGAAGTAATGTCTACAGAGGGTTTGGATCCAAGATGTGTGTTAATGCAAAGTGTGGAAGAAGAATAGATCACTCTGCTGTCTGTTTGGCATGCTCTTATTTTGAAAGGAAATAACTTTTCAAAAGAAAACCACGTGTACGGACAGAGACAAACATGGCTGGGTTGCGAAATTCAAATCATCAGTAGGAAATGAACTGGTTTCAATCCAACAATTATGACAAGTACTTTAATTTGAAAATAACTCACTTCCTCTTTAGGATTGAGTTATTAAATTGAACCCAGCCCTGTTCCTACAGTCCTCTGCTGGAACGATGTGTATGATAAACACGAAAGGCTAATATTCATAAGCTAATATTCAGATACAGTTTGGATTCTCTGTTATGTTTACATTTGTTGTTGAAACAGGAACACTAATCACATGAAAGAGTTTCCCAGCTGTTTGAATGTGTGCTTCAGTGTTTCCAATGTCTTTTCGTTTAACATTCTCCAAACAAAAAGCGTCAGATATGTAAAAATAAATAGATTTCATTGACTTATTTTTGTAACTTCACTTCACACTCTACTGGTTCTGCTGTTCTCGGGTATTTATTTTTCACATTCTCTCTTTTGGTGAGAAGTTTCTTATAACAAAATGCAAATAAACTCCTATGCACTGTGACATTTGGTGTGGTTTGTGTCTCTTTTAAAATGTGTATTATGTTCTCAAATGGAAACCAAAGCAGTCCCATCTGGAACAAAAACAAACACTGGATAAAACAAACAGATTTATTTGCAGCTCTGACATCAGAAACATTAAACGCATCACGGGTCATTTCATTCTCATAATGTCAAACATGCTGACGGTGCAACAAACCCAACAAACACACAGGCATCGATACACGCAGTGAGAACTGAGGAAACGTTTACAAACCGCAGGCATCAGAGAGAGTTCACACACAGGATTTTCCAAAAATAAAAGCTCTTAGAGGTACTTGGATTGATTCATTGTTTTTGATAAATCGGGCACAAAATCATCACAACTTCTGGTCTCTTTTTGCCTCTGCTTTGTAATCTATAATCCATAATGCATGAAAATATTCAGTAGCTCACAAACTTTACAGACAGAAGAGTTAATAACAGGCACAACATGACTCTTCAAACAGTGTAAACTTTCAAAGTGAACTCCAAAATAATTTAAGACATATGGAAGAGATGCTGCGAGAAACACGTGATTCAAGGCAGTGAAAAATGAATGTAGTGTAAATGGAAGTTAAACTTAAAATTTTAATAAAAATAGAGAAAATATACATGAAATTAGCAACGTAAGAAGAAAGGCTCGGATAAAAGCTGACAATTTGGTTCAGAAGATTGTCACGATAAAAGGCATCGGCTCAAAAAAAGTTAGGAAAAACAATCTAGAGGTTTTGACACATTAGAAATCTTGAGTTAATGAATTAGTTTGAATCAAAGAGGCTGCTTTATTCCTGAAATAATTTCTTTTTAACATTTTTTAAAGTTACACACCAGATTAGTGGCTTGAATTAAATCAACACTTGGCAACCTTAAAGGTCCCATGTCATGCTTTTCCGGTTATTACCCGTCCCCTTGTGTGTTATGAAGGTTTTTCTGCATGCAAACGGTCTGCAAAGTCACAAACCCTCAAAGTACACCCTGTAGCGAGTAAAACTCTAACACAGAAAAGACCTGTCTATGCTGCCCCAGAACGCCTCGTTGGAGATTTCTCTTTTTCCATTGTTTTCTTCATGGGTATGGTGACGTGCCCATACCCAAATGGACCCATCCGTGAAGCCGTTACGTCACGTCCGCGGAGCCGTTACGTACCTCACACACACACACACACGCTCAATCTTTTCTCCTCCCTGAGACGGCAGGACGCGGCGAGGCTGTGAGTCGGTGTGTGAGCACAAACTCCCAGCCAGGCTGCGGGTGTGTGTGTATGTTCGGGCTGGTTTCGGGCTGGGTTTCGCTGTGTCTTGCTGTCTCGCAGACGGCCACTGGGCTCATAGGGAGGGGGGGGGCAGGAGCTCCAACAAGCCGTTTAGGACAGAGTGAATACACATACTATACAGAGATGCTGTATGAGAAACCAATGTGATTTTGGAAAGTTGCACAATGTAAATCTATTTTAGTATACCTCAACAATGGAATTATGATCAGTAGAAATGGCCATGACATGGGACCTTTAAAGTGAGTTCGGACCGACTTTCTCCCCTTGTGTTAATTGCATTAATATGGCCGCGATTCACAAATATTCCCCCTATAATCCCTAAACAGGTAGCCTACTCCTTTCCTCCATGGTTACCATATAACTTGCAACATTTTGTTTTGGCATCACCCATGACTGAAATAACTACAGCCTAGAGGAAGTTCTGCAGTAGGTACACCGATAATAATTGATATGTCTGGGTTTAGCTCAGGAAAACAGGTGACAATAAGTTCGTCCTGCACTTCCGATTCAGCAATCAGGAAAATCTCAACTCTCATAGGCTTTCTAGAAACATCCTCACGCATATATTTCTCGTAAGTTAATCATTTCTACCTCTGCAGGCGAGAATAAACGTTGTACTGCACATTTTCCATATATTTGTACCTTAGCATTCACTTATGTAATTGTGCCTCGCCAAATAGTCTACCGCATTCGGTCTGTACACGCCTTTAAAATATATGTATAATACTTTTCAACGTTGCACTATTCAGCCATTTTTCATGTAACAATGGACTGTTTGATAGAAACACGACCCCAGTGAGAATTATGCAGCATGAGCTTTTAGCCTCTAGTTTTAACGGCACAGTGGAGAGTTGGTGGAGACCCAAACTGAGCTAAAAGGAGAGCGACACTGGAACTGTATTCCTCAGAAGAACTCAACGCTGCAATGAAATTAAATGCAACTTTAAAAACTGGTTTACAGTGATATAAGGTCAGTGTTCAAACAATTCACTATTAATTGCTGCAGCCTTAACTTTCTTTATGATCGAGAAAATACAATTCTCCTGTAATACCACCTGCTAAATGACTGTTGAACTAACTTGATAAAAATGTACTTGTATTGAGAGGACTTCACATAGCTGCTTCTGTAAGTGTTAAGAAACATGTTACCTGTACACTATGATTACATGACTAAATATTAAAAGGTGGAATCTACATATTTTACCACAAATAAATTAAGCAGCTGATCAGCGAAAACAAGAAACCCTTCTCTATAGATGTATTTTCTAGGGAAATCAATTATGCTGTGTGTAACTTAGAGAGAATACAATGCAAGCCAGCAAATTCATATTTTGATAAACTAAAATGCAACACTATTAGGTTTTTGATATGGCACTGAGATCAGCTGTTGTCAGGTAACTTTGTGAGGTTTTAAACTGAAAAGAGATCAATACACCAAATAAAAAACACATGTTCTACTTGTGAAGGCAGTTTTTCTCTAAGTGCACAGCAGAATGTTGTTTGGTAAAAAAAACACTTGTTTGTGGCGTTTCTTTTCTTTTTAATTTGGCACACTGGTAGATTAAATATAGGTGACAATGAAGTGAAGCCAAAGGGCTTTGACGCTTTACCTTTTAATTCGATTTGTTATGTATCCATTAGGCACGATACTAAAGATAATACTGATACAAAACTTGTTGAAACTAAACGTTTATACTGTTTAAAACGACCATAGAAGTGTTTTGCCATTAATAAGTCACATTTACATTTTACCTACTGCTAACCCGATTGGCAGCCCCTGGTTTCAATTGACTTTAAACCAACCTTTACCGACATGCTGTAATACTTTTCTTAGTTGGGACTGCTATATAAAACTTGGCTCATTGAAGAACAAGGATTTATCCGGCAGCAGGTGGCAAGCAAAAATAGTATTTCCCATGTTTCTGGTGCACCTCAACTTGGGTCAAGATTTTTCATGAAGTACTGTAAGGCAGATCAAGGTGTAACATGATGAGGAAAACCATTGAGCTGGACTTAAAACAAAATAAATCATCTTGGACCCAAAGCAGAGATGTGACATTATAATGAAACAGATTTGATTTGTGTTCATTTAAAGGGGACCTATCATGCAAAATGCACTTTTGTACGTCTTTTATACATGAATATGTGTCCCCGGTGTTCCAGGGAACTCACCAAGTGTCAGAAAACACAACCCTCTCTATTTTCCTCCATACCCAAATCTCTAAAAAAGGGGCTGCAACGGATCTGATAAAAACTGATCCAGATTTGAACACTGTCCTGACGTCAGGACAGTGGCGCTACGGCTATTGGGCCAACTCCACCAATCAGGAGGAGACAGACACGGCCATTGCCGTTCGAAAGCGCTGGAGACGCTGTAGTACATATGCCAGGCCTCTAGATGGTGCTGTTGCTCACAGAATCAACCCTTGCAAAAACAGACTAACATTTTTCAAATTGAGCGAAATGAGGCATGGCTAAAATGCATGATCTGTTTGGTATTTTGAAAAAAAAAAAAAGTATAAATATGCCTTATATAGGTATGGTCCTACACTATATTATTCAAATATAGCATGATAGGTCCACTTTAAATTTAAAGGGCTTGAATGCAGCGTTTTTAGTTGAGTTTCTATATGAATGTGAGTTCTTACGTTTTTCTTCAAAGCAACTGTTCTATGGTCAGGTATGCAATGAAAAAAGGAAACAATTTAGTGTTAACCATGCACAATACACAACAGAAAGTTGGTCCACAGTAACTTCAAGTGGTGAAAAACTATTTCCACTGTACATCTCAAGAGTTTAAAAGTGTATTTTCTTCATATAAGAGAAGCATTTTGTTAAGTAATTTGTGGGGTCATTGAAAACAGAGATTCAGAGCAATATAGGAATGAAAAGAAAAACAAATGAATGGAATAAAAAAAGAAAGGATATGTGTGAGATGTGAAGGACATCACAAAAATATGACAACTGAAATAATAATCTATGCTTTACATTTATTTTAATATAAATAATTGGTCACTTTATATTCCAACAATATTGGTCGTGTATGGAGCCTTAAAGCAATATTTCACTTTGTCGTTATAAAGAGATGGAAAATCAGCTGCCCTGAAAAGCAGAAGTCACCTGACTTCCATAATAATCTGAAATAGATAATCATGCTCTGCACTCATAAATCCATTACATTTATTTAAGATGAATTCATACTAATTGACATAACATGTTTATTACATTTTAGTGATAGCAATAGGGTGACCTAGCATACCCAGAGCAACTGATGTTAGGTGCTGAATTATCACAAACTCCTACAACGATTAAAGTCTGCTCCACTACAGTGAAATAAAGCTTTAAAAGCCAAGGCAGTAGATCAGTTTGGAACAATATGCCTATCCAGGTACTGTATAGGATACCCTATTAATAATATATATGTTTTTTTGTCCACTTCCCATTGCTTTGCTGTACCCATATGTATTGTACCGTACGGATGGTATACTATACAAATCATAATCAGCCATGTCTGACACTAATCTGAAGACAAAATAAAGAGTAAACTGCAAAAGAAAGGCGCGATCAAAATGCTAGCTAACAAGCTAGCTTTAGCCGCTGTTCCGTACAGTTTGAATTAAGGCTGGGAAATAATCATGGGGACAAAGAAATAAAGGTCATCAATGCAATGTAAACGTATTTAGACAATTCTTTTTCTAATTGATCATATGGCAGTCATGTAAGAAAGTGACAAAGAAAAGCAAGAATAGCTAAAAGCAGCAACTCAACGGCCACAACAACCTAGCTAGCAAGCTAGTCTTGATAGCACGATTTTAATGGTACAGCGAGAAGTGGGCTATGCATTTCTCGAAATGTTTCCAAATGAGTTACTAAAAACACTCTTCACTCCACACCTAGCCTGCTTTTGTTAATATTAGCATACCGTTTGTAGCCACTGCTATCACTACTGAGCACTGATACCCTACGTTAGCTAGTTTGTGGCTATCTAGCTACACAAGCTGCTAATCAGATGTGCAAACAGGAGGAAATGTAGCGGTTAGCTCATAGCAACACCTGTTCCAAGGTAACTCTTTTTTATTTAGTGGCAACACAAGTATTTCTTTTATGTGATAAAAATATGACACAGTTTAGTTGTGAAAAATGCTAATATAGTTCAATATACTGCCGATATTTATCTGCAGGGTCATTGTAGATTCAGCTGTCATTACATGTCATTTGAGCTATTGTGTAAAGGCTAACAGAAACAGCCTCTCCAACACAGGGTCAAAGAGCTCCACCATGACGCTGTAGCCAACTGTGTTAAAAACTGTGTGGCTACATTTTTAGGAACAACGTTTTGCATTCGTGAACCAGACCAATATGCTTGAAACACTGAAAAATGTCCATTCATGGCTCTCATACAGGTACAGCATTGCATGAACAATGTTTGAAACAGGGGAGGAGGGGGGGACACACATTTGCCCTCCCTGGTCCAGGAGGAAAGGTTTCAGGAGAGGATCATAAGTTAATTTACACAGACACACAGCCTGATGTCAAGCTCTTCATGCCTGCTGTCATCAAGTGATAGCCTAAACATGTAACATCTTACCTCTGTTACAAAGTGATGTACTGTTGTAGCATCAAAGGTTCAAATTGAAGTTGTAAACATCTCCTTTTTGCCTTTAGAGATCAATTTAAATTATTCAAACCACTTGGGAGCAGAGCAATTGGGAGCTGGCAGAGCTTAATTCCCATGTTTTACTGTAAATGAGGCACATTATGTGTCTGACAGTGATGAAACGATCCCCTCCTGTTTTCATTTCCTCAGACTAAGACTGTGTTTCCTTGAATAGCCACTAGGGGGGGACAGGGTTGTGTCATTGCCACAGTGCCAAACAGTATGGGAGGAGAAAGAAGGAAGATAAAGAAAAGAGAAGCAGAATATGGTTAAAGGTTAGTTTTAGAAAGTGTAAAAGAGGTAGAAACATGCAAAGATGACTGAAGGAGAAGGTAAAAGAAGGACAGATGTGGTGAGTAGAAAGGACGGACGACAGAAGAGCGCTGAATGGTCGTTTCCTTCTTCATCTAGCATGCACATTTCTTCTCGTTGGGCTGCTCATCGCTGAGCTTCGTGGCTCCGTTCCCATTGGCTGGATCGGCGGGTGGTTTGTCGACACACTGCTCCATCCTCTTCATGACTAGGTCCAACAGCGTTATCACCGCCTTGTCCACCTCCGCCCCTGTGGCTGCACTCGTCTCAAAGTACGGGATCCTGTGGGCGACAAAAAGTACTTTAGGAACAATTTTCCAATTAATTTCATCAGATTTATTATATGTAATTTCTATTAAAATCATCTTGTAGAGACTTGAAATGTCATGCTGATGAATTGTCCCTGAGAATAAAGTGAAAATGAAGTGGAAACCTTTAGTATTGGTCCCAGACATCAGGGGGGGGGAAATGGATAGAGGAAGATATTACATTTTTTCTGGAAATAAAAGTTTAATACCAATTTGGAAAAAAAGTGGGCATATACTGAGAGTTTCACATTATTCCCAAAATGTTATTTAAAATCTTACTCCTCTTATCTTCTGCCCTTAGGCCTTTCCCTATTACAATATACTATGTACCACAAAAAACAGATGTCAGAAACAGTTATAGGGATAAGGGAAAGTTATTGCGATGTAAAAGCTATATAAGTTTTGCTAAGTACAAGTGAGAAGAAATGTGCGTATCCTGATATTCGGATCTGCTCAGAAAATTAGACCAGGGGAGTCAAACTCAATTTCATCGCGGGCCACATCAGCATTATGGCTGCACTCAAAAGGGCCGGTTGTAACTTTAAGACTATATAAAAATACATATATAAATATTTAATATATATAAAATAATGTATTATATTACATTATTTTCCTCTGCATTGGATTATTATCTGATAGGGTAATAACTTCATAATTAACTACGTCTGAAAGCAGAAGTCTAGGGAAAAAAATTGCAAGTCTCTTCAGTGAGAATGTCACAAAATGATTTAAAAAGAAAATTCTGGAAAAAAAGTCAAAATCCTAAAAAATAAGTGAAATTTGAAAAAAATAAGTGATTTATTTATTTTTGAAAATTTGATCAAAATAAGTGATTTTTTTTTTTTTTTTTAAGTGAAATTTTGAGAAAAAAAAGTAACATTTTGAAAAAAAAAGTAACATTTACAAAAACAATTCTAAGAAAAAAGGAATATTTAGAAGAAAAAAAGTCAAATTCTGAGAAAAAAAGTCAAATTTGAGATGCATTGTGGGACATGTAGTTTATGGGCAACGTGCTTCTGTAAATCGGCATGTAACAGGTATTATAAACGTATTATTCTTTGCAAGCTCTTGTGGGGCCACATACAATGAAGTCACGGGCCGGATTTGGCCCCCGGGCCTTGAGTTTGACACCCCTGAGTTAGACCGTTTGATTTGACTGATTTAGCCCCTGAACACTTTCCCACTGCGCCCCAGAGTTGAACACATATGACTTCCTTGAAGATAGTTTTGTTGCCAGGCAACATAAGATCTTGGCTGGTTGGAGTTACACAGGAAAAGATGTTTAACTAGCAGGAAGTCATTTGTTGAGATATTGCTCACAGTTCACCTTTATCTTCGTACAAACCCATAAACATCCTAATATTAACCCCGGATTAACCATTTTTTCATGCCTGTATGTTTGCAACAAAGTAATTGTTTGATGAAATGACCAAAAAGAAAGAAATTTGACTTGCCTGTTTACAGTAAGTGTGACACTGTTAATCTGCATCACAGTAAAATCAAATATTATAAAGTATAAAATAATATAATAAAATAAAATGAAGGGTCAATTCCTTTGTAGTAAGAGATGCATCACATGAGGACTGTGTATATTTTGTAGTGGCTTAACTACTTATTTGTTGATGCAGACAAGCATAAAATATACATAAAACAAAAAATAATATTATCTCTATATCAAATCTAAGAGTTAGTTTTTCATAAATTATTCAATTTAAAAAAGGCAAAAACAGCCAACGCAAAGACTCCTTCATGATTTAGGCCAAGTTTGGGGAAAAACACTGGCAGACGCTGGCGACCTGAGACTTTAAAATAATATATGGATACAATTATTAAGCACTTAGCTCAGGAGCTACATCACAGGGTGGCTGACAGGTAATGACTGAATGTGATTCTAACCACAGGCGGACGATAAAGAGGTGATGGAGAGTCGAGTGAACATGGAAGGGGCAGTGGGCTCCATCTATCCTGTAGGCTGTTCACTAAGTTGAGAAACATTTTGTGCAGTTTATTCTCTGTCTGTGACTTTAGATGAAAATAAGGAGCCCCTCCCCACGCCCCTCTGAGAGATATTTGGTTAAAAAGAACACAATGGTGCTCTCGGAGGAGATTCAGGTGATAAGGTGGGGGGGGGGGGGTTACCTTGGTTGCTGATTGGCTAATGGTTACACAAGCCAGAACATCGTTATGACAAAGTGGCCAAAATCTGATCAGCTCATTTTCAGACAGGTTTTTATATAAATGGATCAGGACAAAAAGAGAGAGAATCTTTGTTCCTGAAACTTTCAGAATCTTTTTACACAGAGGGGACACATGTTGATGTAGAAAAGACATGAAGAAGTGGATTTTGCATAATAGGTGACCTTTAATACTCTAGTAATCATAGCTCCAAATAAAACTCCTGCAACAAATACTGAAAACTAACAAACTAACGTACCCGTATTTATCAGCCAGCTCCTTGGCCTGTTTCTCCTGAACCTCCCGCTGGTCCGCCAGGTCCGCCTTGTTTCCTATCAACACGATATCTGGATTCTCACAGTACGCATTGGCCTGTAGCTGGCCTGGAAACAATACAAATATACAACAACATAAAACAACACTGGTCTATTGTATCCTTATTTTCATACGTTTCATTCATGTCCAAATATAACAAAAACTTTTCTGACCCCTGTGGAATTTGGACCTCTAGTGGCACGAAAGAGTAATGTTGAAGCTAGAACGGAAATTGATTTTGTTACACGTAAAGACAATATGAGACACATACTCATCCAGTTTCTGACATTGAGGAAACTCTGCTGGCTGGTGAGATCAAACATCAGCAGGAAGCCCATGGCGTCCCTGAAGAACGCCGTCGTCAGGCTGCGGAATCTGTAAGAGACGTACAGCAAATCAAACAAAGGACATGGCAGCTAAGATTTGAGCTGAAATGCCTAAAAGGTGCAGTTTCTCCAACAATGCTATAGGCAAACTCAGACAAATGTGACTGTGTGAAGAGACTACAACATTTATCTAAAACTGCCATATTCACATATGATGCTAATATGGGGCTCATATTAGTATGTAGTGTCTCTACTGGGACATGTCTCCATGCGTTAATGTTCAAAAAGCTCTATTTTTCTCATACTGCAGCACCTCTTTTCACCCTCTGTCTGAAACCAGAGCCCAGTCTGCTCTGATTGGTTAGCTGGCCAGCTCTTTTGTGATTGGTCAACTGCTAAGGAGAAACTCCCAAACACTTTTGGACTCAAGCCTCAAAAACATATATAGCACACTACAGGAAATGTTTAAAAAAAAGCATGATTGGGCCCTTTTAAGAAACACATTTATGACACATCAAAAACATATTCGGGGAGAAAAATCTTTCCCTGGAAACGTTATTGAGAATAGAGTTTTGTTGTATGTATGTTATTTTGGGCTAGGTGCCCTTCACTTCAATGCAACATCTCAGTAAAAGCAGATCCAGTTTTGACAAAGATAATAAATCTCATCGCTGAAATTCGAGCCTGTATCATCACACTGAATGTTTCAACAGATCACTATCATTGTTTGTGTGCCTCCTTGCATGCACACACTCCCGCACACATGATTGACATATGGTCTTTAATTGCCACTGGCCTCGATTTGTTTAATCTGTTTATAAAGGCCTGATGACTCATTGCAGGATGACTCACTGTCAGTTACATAATCCTAACTTTATTTCTTCAGAGAACAAATTCTTATTTTCATAAACGGATCTTTTGATGGAGCACCCAGTCATTATTCACCCTTTGTGACCAGTTTGTCAGACTGGAACCGCCCTGATGTCGGCTGCTTGATCCTGATTGTTTGCGAATCAAATATTTGCTCAGTAGTAAGCCATATTTACATATTAGTTATTATCGCTGGTGGTGTCACACCCAGACGCACCCAATATCTACCCTTTGTACATTTGCATTAAGAAAGACATATCACGCTAATTTTCAGGTTCATATATTTAGGGGCTGTACTGTCACATGTAACATTTACATGCTTTCATGTCTCCCAAAGTTCCCTCTACAGCAGGCCATTTACATGCACAAAGAACTATATAAACACACTACAGGAAATTAAAACCCCCCTAAAATATTATAGGGCTTCTTTAAGTCAATCAAAGTTAAGCATTACAGCTACCATCTCTGTGATTTGATGATACGATTTGCTCGTCAATAGGTTAACACATCTTGCATTGTTGTAGATGGAACCATAGTTAGTGTTTCTCTCCTAGTAAATATTGGGGAAATTACCCTCAGAGACCAAACCGTTTTTTTGTATAAGGCTGTAAACATGTTTATTTCTGCTGTAAGGTCATTTGGGTTATCATGGGGGTCTATGGAGTTGCTCTAGTGGCCAACATTACACAATATTACTGCTACGAAACTGAGGAAAAAAAGGAATCGTAACCCAATGGGTTATTGTATCCTTCATTAAACCATTGGGCACATGATTAGATGTCCCTCTTGGACACAGAGAGCTCTGGAAATATCTATTCTTTTTAGAAGAAGATTATTTACCATGTGTATTGCAAGAAAAGACAGCATAGACATGGTTGACTATCAATGCTATATATATATATATCTGTTGCTACGTTGGTAAACACCACTGTGAACAAGTTGTTGAAAAGTGTGAATATAGATAATTGTGTGCAAAAACTGTAATTGGCATGATGTAAGGAAAGACAATCAACCCACCTCTCCTGCCCAGCTGTGTCCCATAGCTGAAGGTGAACCTTGAAGGTTTTCCCTGTTGTCGTCGCATTGGGATTGGCCGCTGTGTACACCTGAGGGGTCATAAACAAAACTAGTTTAGTTACATTTATCAGATACAATTAACAAAATAATGTATATAGAGAAAATGTTTGAACACTTGGGAAGGTAGGATCTATTGCAGGCATTAGTTTGAACCAGTAGGACCAGATATACGGGCGCATTGTTGAAGAAATAAAGTGATAGGAACTGTGTTAAACATTGAAATGGCAGCTACAACTTTCAATGCCTTTGGGTTGCAGGCAACACCAACAACATATATCACTAGAAAAAAGACTCTCCTGGTAATCCCAAACAGAAAACAGAGCAATCTCTCTGTCCTAGCCCTCTTACATTCAAGATGGTGGCAAAGAAAACTAAATAAATGGTGTATCTCATAGCTCTAGGGGCTTTAACAAACTCCACTGCTTCGTTATTTGATTTCTCAGCATGTCTGACTAACGGTGATTTATTCTGACTGTAATGATGAACTCTCGTGTGCTGCAGCTGGTTGTTGTTTCGGTGTCTCAGCATGAAGCCTCGGGCGTCATTCACACCTCTCATTCTCACAGATGAGACACTCTCTTTGAAAGCTGTGTTGATACGGATCATACTTAAAAAAAGTAAAAAAAGTAAAGTGCTTTTAGTTCAGTTTTCCAGGTGACTTTCAACTTGAAATTGTTGACGTACATCTGACAAAAGCGATTCCTCAAAAGGGAGACATGTTTGTTATTGAATCTAAGGATTGCTGGATTACGATGCCAAGTTCGGGCACTAATGCCACATCTGCACATTCACGTCTAAGGAAAAAAGTCCCCAATCAAGTAGGTTGTCGACTGGTTCCAGGTAATGTATAACTACACACTATGTGAGGGATACTAAACCAACGATTTGACTCACAGCATGGATTTTAAATGACTTTTTTTGTATGAATTGATCGTATTGCATCCGCTGGAACTGCGGCAACAGCAACGCGAATTAAAATGGCGGAAGCACTGATCGAGGTTTACTGTAACTGTCCAAATGTCTTTTTCCTATTAACCAGTTTTTTAAACACAGCCAGAGCCCATACAGTGTTCTTGTTAGAGATATTTCCTGTCTGTCTTCTGCTGTTCCCTTTACTGTTTACTTCCTGTGTGTTTTCTGCTGTTGATTTCTCTATCGTTCTAACTTCTTTCCTTCTCTTGCGGTCATTTTTCTTTCTTAACATGGTACAGTTTAGCCATCATGAATCCAAAGTGTTGTGCTCTCCACAAATATAAAAAAACGAATATTCAAAAAGTATTCCACGTGCTTACTGATGGAGAAAACTAACTATATGTTGTTCACAGCTGACATTCAATAACCAGACTTTTCTCTGCGGATTGATATGACTACACATAGTCCCTTGATCCTCCTTAGCAATGGTAAGCTCTCCTTAGCAGCGAAACATAACAACCTCTATAATGTCCAAATTGACCACAATCACGGACTGCAGATGGAAATGAGCCATTAGCTCAAATCTGGCATAATTCATCTCTTCTCTTTTCTGAGATTAATGTATTTGTATGCATGGTCCTTGTTGAAATAAATATATAATACAAAGAAAAAAAGAATTCAACTGAGCTATGTAAAAAGTATAGTTAAATGCAGAGCCTGAATGTCAAACCTTCTTAATTCATCTCCATTCCTTTCCATTTGAAAAAAAAAAAACTGTTCCACATTTAGCATTCAGCTTCAGGCTCCACAGAGACCCTGAGGAGGAGCCTCTGACATCACGGCGCTACAGCTGTGATCCAACGTGTCTGCTTCTGTTTGACTCTTGACGCCTGGACACGAGGTGTGATCTTAACACGCACACAGACCAAGTGAGGAACTCTAATCAATCCTATGAGTCATCCGGAGCGCTGGGGTTTAAACAGCGTTGTCTGTATTTCAGAGGAACGACGGCAGAAAAGTCAAAAAAACATCTTTCCAAAGCGAGCCTCGCCCACTCTCTGATTCAAATAACTCACACTTAAGACATCTCAATGTGTTCACCCTGATGAGATCCCAGCTACAGAAGTCAATGTTTTCACTCAGGGACAGTTTAAAGTGGTATTCACAGTCAATCTTTTGAGTGTTAAAGCCTCTGGTGGCTGTTTGTTTCTTCACAGATAACAGCAGCTGTGGAAAGACTGGATTTATCTCAATTAGAGCAGATTGATCTAACATTGACTAGTTGTTACGCTGGGGAAATGACATCCATTAGAGCTTTTTCAAGCAAGGAATCAACACTGCTTTTTTGCTTCAGATTGACAATACTACTGTACATCTATATCTGTTTAAATATGATCATAAAAAAAGGGTGCTCCAGCCAGGAAAGGGCTATCTTCGCTTGGAATACAGTCTTGAAACATGTGGCCTAGATCTGTCAAAAATACTGTTCATTTTTCTTTTATTATTCTTTGTAATGTCAGTGTTGTGTACTGCTATTCCTCCTGACGTAATGTGCAGCACGGGAAAGAAAACACTACAACATTTCATCTCCTACTTTTTGGAATCACAAAAAGGGACTCGTGCCAGTAAGACACTTTTACATTTCACTGTTAATGTGCATAAGCTATTCAAATAATTCAATTGTATTATTATGAACAGGGTCAGTATGTCCCGGCTATATCTTTAAAGTTCTGTGTGTCTGATGCTCATTGTTAACAATATGGCCATGTATATCACTTTAATTAAGATTATGAAAAGGGCTAGACAGGATGTCAAAATACATTTAAAAATCTAAATCTATATATTAAATGTAGGTATACATACTGCCGGAATTTTCTTTTTATGTTTTCATTTAGCTACTCTCATTCTTCTATATTTTAAATATATATTTGTGTAATGTTGTGATGTACACCTAATTATTAAACCAAAATACTGTGTTGCTTTTATTTGATGTATTAAGAGTAAAACGGCATTTGTAAACTATACTATTCTTTAAGTCCAGCCTTTAATTTATGATGACAAATGTTTGATACTAAATATCTTGGTTCTTTAAGGTCACGTTGTTCTGTCTTACATAATACACTTAAATAAAAAACATATTTTCTCTTGTCTTCATGTGCATTGCATTTGATTTTCAGGTAATCCAAAAGCAACGGAAAGTAATCAGGTTACTATTATATGTTGATACTTTTACAGGTAACTAGTGATTGTAAGGGAATGCATTTTTATAGTAACCCTCCCAACCCTGATGATGATTTACTTTATTTGTCCATGTGTTTGTACCACAGCAATCATGACGTCACAACACTCCACCATCTTCCCCCAGTTACTGTTTCCTGGGCTAGAGGTCGATCTGACTGTCTGTCGCTGTACAAGTTAATATAATGACCGTGACTCAGCTCAGCAGATGTTCAGGAGAAAAACAGCAGACCTGACCTGACCCTGTGTTTGTTCTTTCAAGTACAGGCCAAAAATATGCCTGGGAAAATGACAAGTAACTATGGTAACCCAGCATGAATATCTCGCATACTCCTGTTTTAAGTTGATTAAAAACTAGAAACAGAAACGTCTCAAACCTACCGGAAAGATATACACATTTCCCTGCGTTCAGTAAAGACTATCCCAGTAATATAAGATGATAGAACTCACCACTCTCTTTTCCCTGAAGTCGATGCCGACTGTGGTGATGAACTTTGGGTTGAACTTGTTGTCTGTGTATCGGTACAGGAAGGTGGTCTTCCCCACGCCGGAGTCTCCCAGGGCAAGGAGCTTTATAAGGTAGTCATAATCCCCATCAGTCATATTGATGCCCGCAATAAACCTGTGGGAAACAGACGGAGGAGATGTTAACGGACAGAGACACTCAGAGAGGCTTAGCTGAGGTTAACATACATACTGCATAATGTAGGCATTCTGTGTGAGTGTGTGCATATAATCATACTAATAGGAACAATGTGAGGTTTGATTGGTTAAACTAGCCAATGAATAGATAGGGAGGAGACTGTGTGTGTGTGTGTGTGTGTGTGTGTGTGTGTGTGTGTTATACTAGCCACTGTTGAATTATGGAAGTGTGGTCATAGGGTCATCCTGCCCAGAACATGACATTCTGGGAAAAGTGTAAAGTGTGTGTGTGTGTGTGTGTGTGTGTGTGTGTGTGTGTGTGTGTGTGTGTGTGTGTGTGTGTGTGTGTGTGTGTGTGTGTGTGTGTGTGTGTGTGTGTGTGTGTGTGTGTGTGGGGAGAGGGTATGTCTGTATATCAGAGTATGGGAAAGCAGTAGAAAATGTACTCAGTTTAACGGTCATTTATTAAAAGGAATACTTCACCCCCAAAATAAACGCTTGAAAAACAAACGAATACTCCCCCATGATATTCTTAGAGCCTTACCAGTAGTAAATGTTGAAATGGTTTATCATCTGGGGAGCAGGACCATGATCAAGAAATGAATTTCAAAACGTTTGATTTCCATGATTTCTTTTCACATGGTTCTATTTAGTTGTAGTCTGGGGTCTGTTTGCCTCAAAGCTAGATGAGGTATTTTTAGAATGAGGATCACAAGACTCTAATTCACTCAGCTGAGAGGAAGCAGATATAACACTGAGCTTTATTACAGGGATGACAGTGATTAACCAGGAGCTCTGATCTGCTCACAATAACCTCACTGTACGTCAGATAGTACGATGAGAACCAGTTACACTGTTCACCAACCAACCACACTGAAGCAAACATGGTCTTAGTTATCACACATATATAAAGATTACTAGATAGTGTTGGAGGCGGGGCCGGGTGTATTTTCTACGAAAGTAGTTTGAAGGTGCATTAATCTTAAAATTAGCAGAATTATGAGATTACCTTCCGTATCCATGGGCCCTTAAAAAGTACATTTTTCATTAACCCTCCCTCCCAGTTATCTATAAACTAGCTCTGGATTAGACTTTAAGTGCATTTTGCAACTTTAAGGACCTTTTATATAAAAAGGGCTATTCAGTATTGGCAAGTTGATTACTTCAAAAACAACGAGTCGCTGATATTCTGATCATTTCCAATGGAAGTCTAAGGAGGCCTAACAACATAACATGACAAACCCGGAAATTCATATTCCACAGTTTAGCCATTATGTCAAACTGGCTTCAAGGCTAGATAGTATTCCTATTATAAATAGCAGAATTGTATAATTGTCTAGAATAGAAAGAACTGTAGTAAATACAAGTTCACAGAGATGATAAATCTGATTTTTCAGGCATATTTGAGTTAGATTATGAACCAAAACCTACACTCACCGAGCTACATATGCACGCACAGCCAGTTCAAATAGACAGCTGAAGTAAAACCCAGGAATAACAGACTCCATTTCCCATAAGCTCTACCATCCCAGGTTTATAATCAATAAGACAACAGAAGATTAGAGTCCAAAGTCCACAGAGGGATGCCTAAACAAGGTAGAACTAGTGATGGTGGATATAATGAATATGGTCAAATGGTACAAGGTGCTGCTAAACTTTAATGGGAGCTGTATTGTTTTGTTTGCTAAATAAATTGATTTCATTCAAATGAATCTGGTTTAAATGTCCAATGAACATAAAGCAGACTTTAATACAATACAAATCAATAAATCTAACAAATTCAATGCATCACAATGATGACTTTCGCGACAAAAGTTAATCAAGTTATAAGGACCGTTTTCTAGACCTAATTCAATGAGCTTTCCTTCATTCGTGCGGACGTTTTGGCACATGACAGTACTCTGATATGTTTTTCCTTTCTTTGGTTGCTCTTACACATTTAGCATAAATCAGTCATGTCTTTTATGAAGCCTCCCGACGTTGAAAGGACGGGGGTGAGACGAGATAGATGCTTCAACGTTATTGATCTGTGCTCATTTGTAGGAAACTGGGAACACTACAACCGGTGGTGTGATGAGTGGTGTGGTCAGTCATGACTCCCCGAGGGTTAAACTGTTAACGAACTGCGATAAATCATAGTATATTTAATGTGCCATGCATTCACTCTCTGATATCTCACATCATATATACCTCGTCACTGTACCGTTTTTACGTTAATTATTTGACTGTCTATGTTACTATCCAATTGCTCTTTTTACTGAACTGTTAGTGTACAGTTTTAGTATTATGCTGCTGTGTTTATTGTATATTTGTAACTGGCACAACAATTTCCTTCGGGGAATAAATAAAGTCCTATCTTATCTTATCTTATATATCTGGCCAATCAGATGGAGCCCTACTGCTGTAGATGTCCCGCCCCCATGTAGAAGTCACGCTCATAGCTGAAGGGTATAGCTGATGGATTTCAACTGAGTGTTGGTTATGACTGAAGGGAGGGAACACCAAGGGAAATAATGGGGATGAAAATGACATTTTTCAAACACGTGTTACAACCACCAGAGGTTTCATGAGGACCTGAAACCTCTTCGATGTCACATCCGGCTAACAATTGAATTGTAACACTCGTACATGTTTGTTCTCCTTGGATCACCCAGCGATAAAGTGTAGATACTTTCCTGCATGCAGCATTACGGCGAACAGCTCACTATCAGAGATGGCAAAAGTACACGCATCCTTTACTCAAGTAGAAGTACAGATACTCGTGTTTAAAAATACTCTGGTAAAAGTAGAAGTACTGACTAAACTTCTTTACTCAAGTAAAAGTAAAGAGGGCTTTGAAATGTACTTCAGTAAAAAGTACCCATAACTAGCAGCTGTTTTAAAGAGTACCTGACCTCCCTTTATATTAATAGAACAATAATGTCATTGTTAGCTAATGAATGTTTCCATGCTGAACAACGGCAACATGACAACGTTTTCATTGGTCCCTCTTCTTTAGAGAAGACCAGGAAATGATGGATACACGGATCGTGTTCAAATCAATAGGCACGCAATGACTCTAAATAATAATGATCACGCCACCAAACACACATTCAAACTAAAGGAACCAGCCTGTTTGGGAAATGTAAGAAGTAGAAAGTACAGGTATTTGTGTTCAACATGTAAGAAGTAAAAGTACAGGTATTTGTGTTAGAAATGTAAGAAGTAGAAAGTTCAGGTATTTGTGTTAGAAATGTAAAAAGTCAAAGTAAAAAGTCATCAGAAAAATAAGTAGTGGAGTAAAGTACTGATACCAGAAAAATGTACTTAAGTACAGTAACGAAGTATTTGTACTCCACTACTTCCCACCTCTGCTCACTATATTACTAAACTGAAAAGTGTCTGGTACGAGTTAAAGAAAAACAATTGAACACAGGATGATTGTATTGCTGACCCAAAAACACTAGAAATGATGTTTTCTGACAAACCAGTCCAGAGGTGGAGGTGAGGCCAGACAGTTTGTTCTCTGATCTAGTGTGTATGGATCTAAAGGTTCCCTGGTTATACTTGGCTTGTTCATTTACCCATTAAAATCTCCAAAGGCTCTGGGCTATGTTCAAAAAGCCCCAAATCCTTTGTAATAAGTAACCCGGTACATGTAAACACGAGAAATCATATCGAGTTATGTTCAGCCAATACATCCAGGGTATATCATCGAATCCATATTTTAATGTTCAGGGAAAACATGAAGCATACTCTTCAAGCTGCACCGCTTGCCAAAATGGGGCTTTTAAACGCCAGAATGCTTTTTTTTTTTTTTTAATGTAAAACAAGCAAATAACTGGTGATGAGCTCTTTCTCTAAAGCATAAAACAACAAATATCTCAACTCTGGGGGATTTAAACGTTCACATTTGCTGCATTTCCCAAGTTAGTCATGAGTCCAGTCATGTTGACTTTTAGCATTCCCAATGTCAAGATAAATGTGGAAAAACTCTGGAATAATAGATCAGATTTCCCCACTGCACCCGTCTAAAGACCCATTTATTTTCTTTAGTCTCTTAATAGTCATCAATGAAGACATTTCTATTGTTTGTTTCAAAAAATGTGTATCTGTCCTCTGTGTGATTATTGTAAACAAAAGGTGATTGTATATTTCTTTCTGCATTAAAAAGATAAAGAAGTGTGCAAAGCGACACTTTGTTCAGAGTAGTTGTTTTCACATTTTACAGGCAGAATGTATGTACACACCGTTGCCACTTTATTAGGTACAATTAACTTATATGCAGGAGCCAAGCAATGAATCCTCCTATCAGAGTTTATATTGTTCACTTGTGATTAGGGCTGCACGATAGATCGTGTCATGACGATAATCGCGATATGCGCATGCAGTCACATCGCAGGAAGTTTTTTTTTTTTTTTTTTTTTAGGACGTGCGATATGAAGTAGGCAAATTAACTCAAACACGTCATGTTACAATTATTTTGCTGCTTGCTAGAAAAGGAAAACTCTCGCGGCTCTCATGTCAGGTGTACTTGAGTGACATGCAGGCTCTGCATGCACAGCAAACCACCAATCACAATCAAATCTCCAAAGCAAAGGGACCCGGTGATTCAAAGGTAAAAACACTGAATAAAGTAGTTTCATGTGTTTCTCCAGGGCAGTGCTAACCGAGCTAGCTCAGCTTGTTGCTCTGATAACTTAAGATCCAGACGTTCGTGACTAAAATCCTTCATCCAGTTAAATATAGTTAGAAAAATACCAATTGTATAGCATTAAAGTTCAAGAAAGGATGGTTTGCGGACAAAAAAAAAACGGTCTTTTCTTCAATTCCTGTATTTTTTCATATCGCAATATATATATCGCAGGGGAACAAAATATCCCAATGTCAGTTTTTTTCCAATATCGTGCAGCCCTACTTGTGATGGTGCTGAACTGTATTGCCTTTGTCTTAAAAGTCTTACTAATGTTAAGCCTACCCTTGTTGATATAACTAGATTCA